AAGGAAACGGTTGTCTATACTTATTATAAAAACAGTAAAAAACAAATCTAATAAAATAATTATTTTAGCCACTCGATGAATTTTCCTGAAGAACTTCTGTTTTATTCAGGCCTAGAGAAGTTCTCAAAGTAACCCTTGTGCCATGGCCCACAGGCTGGAATGACTGAATAGTACCAAAGTGTATTTTAGTATAATTATAAAACTGAGCTATATATTGCCCACAACATTGAACTAGACAATTTTCTTTTTCATTAGTATATAAACCTAAACTCTAAAAAAATCTTAAAATTTATAAAGTTTAAAAAAACCAGGATAATACTATTAATATAGTTTTTGATGATACACTGGGAAATTTTTGCAGTTATCTCTATTAAGGTGAAGAAGAAAGAACTGAGTAAACATAGAAAATTCTAAAAAATAGATTTTCAAAGTATTTGCATTACTAAGGGAGGTCTGAACTCGGTGTAACAATACATTATTAAAAAGTACACAGACACGCAGACACGCACGCACACACACACACGTACACACAGAGAGAGAAATAAAATGGAACCAGTCAGTCTCTTATCTCAGTCTCTTAAAGGCATATTCCTAGATTCTTCAAACTGATTTACTCTCTAATAGTCCCTTTCTTACCAGGTACATCAAATAATTGCCAATATTTAACCTAGTTTATTTAAAGGGTCATCATTAATATTTACTTGATGGCAGGGCAAGTTATGTGGTTATTTTAAAAAGCTCTGAAGATGCTTTGTAGCCATTTTATTTAATAAATATTAAACATCACTGTCAATTTTCATTTTAAATGGCTCAAAGAATCTGTTGCAGGAATCTTTAGAAGACAAATAAGTAATTTTGTTGAAATGGTGGAAGGAAATAAAAACTTAACAACCTAAGCCATATTCTCCCAGGAGAAAATATGGATTTGTATTCAGATATAAAAGTCCAAGATGAGTTAAATGCTTGGAGCTATTCCTCATTATCTGTATAATATGTCCTGAGATCTTTAGATTCTCTAGGATCGATTGCAACTGGTTAAACATTGAGGTTCAATCCTCTCAAAGGACTATGGATACTGATAAATTTTACCAAGCTTATTTTATGTTGGCAAATGAATACAATTCATTAAAGTTTCATAACATTTCTACATAAAAGCATAATATACCACACCCAGTTCTTATTATTGAATCACATACTACTAGAGTTTCTTTAAGCCTATTTCCATTGTCTTTGAAGACCAGCAATAGAAGTGTCTATTTTTTTGTGAAGTCCCTCATGAACCCTTTAAGTAACAAATTATACCCTCCCTCACAGCTTTTCCTACGTTTCCTCACAGCTTTCATCTGAAGCAAAAGACTGAGTCATCGTATTGTTATTGACTAAAGAGTTAAAAATTAGCAGAGAATTTAAGAGAAAAAATAGATATACAAAAAAAGTTGAAATAAGGTGAATAACACAGTGCATTGATACATCATTCACTGTGTACCAGTAAAAATATAATACATATTTTTAAAAGCCTGAGTCTCTCATGTCAGTAAGTTGCTGAATAAACTTCAATCTTCAGATTGAATCCAAATCTTGTATATTTGATATGAATGTATTTTGTGACTTCAAAGTATTACAAAAAACTCATATTTTTAATAAAAAATAAACCCTGATGAAATAAGAGTGATGTTGCTGGAGCTGGAGTAAAGTAAATTGAAATGATTAATAGTAAAAAAATTTAAAGACGGAAATACAGAAATACTGATTCATGAAGTTTTCTTTAAACTTATGTATCAATGAAGTGTTGTTCCCTTGACATATCTTAGGTTTAAAATTTAGTCAATACAGGAAATTTAATCCAAATATGTAAACGGTAAAATATGAAAGAAAATACATCTTGTAAAACAAAGATAAAAAACTAAGTAACATCCAGGCTAGAATATCAGCATAAAATAGCAAACTGCACTGACGGCAGCATATGTTGCAATAACAAACTCAATATTAATTAATTAACTGGGTGAGTATTTCCTTTAAACCTACAAAACTATACTAAATACTGGATTATGTTGAAGTAGCTTTGAAGATAAGATACTCTTCTAACTCTCAAGAATGCATAGAGTAATGGAGGACTTAACAGGAGATTTCAGCCTGTTGTAACTGTGATGAGTAGGGAAGAATGAGCATAGATTCTCATGGAATGCAACAATGGGTATTAAACCTAGTGTTGTAGAAATAAGGACGGAGGTAATTTGGGATGTCATTACAATATATTACCCACAATGCTAGTGTGCTAGTATGTTTATTTATGTAAATATGTATATATATACACACACACATACACACATAAATACACATGCACATTTATACATAATATATATGCACATATAATTAACTGCAGGCTCCAATCACTTTCAGGAGGGTTATTACTAATGAAGAGCAGGGAAAATAACTGGCTATGAGTAGCAACGTTGACAAGCGATGAACATCACAATGATCAAATCCTGGTTGAAGATAAGGGAAGTGGAGCGTGTGTGTATATGTGTTTGTGTGCATGTGCAATGTGTGTGTTTGGTGGTGGTTATGTGGTAGAAGAGGCAGATACACCATGGTGGGAGAGGTCAGCACCATGTAGACAAAGAAGAGCAAAGATTTACTTGCCTAGAATGCCTGACAGGTACTGTGCAACCCAGTGACTTTTTTCCTTTTTTTGTTGTTGTTGTTGTTATTGTTCTTATGTGACTCTCTTGGTGCCAAATATAATTATTACTATATATTTTAGACATAACCTTTTGGACAGGACACCATCCCATTCCCAAGGATTTTCAGCTCAATGGTTAGGAAATACTTTCTCCATAGAACAAAGCCTCACACTGCTTTCACCTTAGCATTTAGAAAAATTATAAGTAAGTTTATATATTAAATTACATAAAAGTTATTAAGTTAATATCTATGAACTTAATGCTCAAAATAACTCTATGAGATAGACTTGTATACAGTGGAAGAAACTATTTATAGGTGAGGGTACTGAGACACAGCAGCATTAAGTGGTTTTCAGACGTAGTAAATAGATTGGATTCAAAACTAGATAACCTCACTCTTTTCTATAGAAATGTTTATGATAATGTCATTTGAGCTTTATTTTTAAAAAGAAATAATTAAAACTTACTATTTCAAAGTATGAATAAATAAATCTTCTTGGAGAATACTTATCTATCATCTCTTTAACTGATGGCATCCTTCTCAAGTTAATATTATTTTATTATTTATTTATTTCAACTAGAAAGCAAAATGGCTTCTACAGAAATAAAAGTCATAAAATGACACATAGATAGGCTGAAGTATCGTGAAATATTGCAAGGGATTCACATGCAATAAACTTCAGTTTTGGGCTCTTTCAGCTTACATTATTCTATATTTCTTCCTTTCCTCTATTCCAAACATCTGAAGTTGTTCATGGCAACGGCTTAAGTATTTCTGACTTCTAATAAATTGGACATGGAAGTTGGAAAATCTGAAAATTGACAGAAGTTAATTGATGGCATTAAGGTTAAATAAAATATGAAGACAAATCTCTAAAATTTTAAAACATCTTAGTTGGTAAGCAAAATCTTCAACTCAAGGCATACACACAGGCCGAGTGGTTTTTCAGTATTTCCAAAGAACAAATAGAAGGTTAGAAGTTGTTTACGGGAGCTGGCAAGTTTTGACTTGTAAGTGAAGGCATGAGTAAAACTATCCGTAGGATCACAGCAGGTGATTTCAGCAGCTATTAGATAACACTGATTTCAGGTTATAGCAGGCAACTTCAGCAGTCAGGCTTACACAGAATTACATTCTTAGGGCAATATTGTGTGCTCTGTGTGCTTTTTTGCCCCTGGCATCTTGACCCTGTGTTAGTTGGGTATGACAAAAATGACTCAACCCAATCCATACAATCAACTTTCACATTGGCTAAGGACAAAGCACTCATTTTAAAAAAGAAAACTAGTCCAGGCTTGGGGGCTCACACCTGTAATTCCAGCACTTCGGGATGGGTGGATCACCCGAGGTCAAGAGTTTGAGACCATCCAGGCCAACATGGCGACACCCCGTCTCCACTAAAAATACAAAATTTAGCCAGGCATGGTGGAAGACACATGTAATCCCAGCTACTCAGGAGACTGAGGCAAGAGAATAGCTTGAACCCACGAGATGGAGGTTGCAGTAAGCCAAGATTGTGCCACTGCACTCCAGCCTGGACGACAGACTCCACCTCAAAAAAAATAAAACAACTAAAGTATCTTCCCCACATTGAGAACTATCAAGGTAATCAAACTTTTACATAAACAGAAACCTTATATAGGGATTGGTGTAAGGACACAAAGGTGGTTCTGATTAGGAAGGAAACTTGTAGGCATGTCTCTGAAAGATAGCAGGTATTACATGGAGTCAGAAAAGTCTGGCGTCAGACTCCTCCTTACCACTTCCAACTGTGACAGCAAGTTTTTTTTTATTTTTTTATTTTATTTATTTATTTATTTATTTTGAGAAGGAGTTCCACTCTTGTTACCCAGGCTGGAGTGCAATGGCGGGATCTCGGCTCACCGCAACCTTCGCCTCCTGGGTTCAAGCAATTCTCCTGCCTCAGCCTCCCAAGTAGCTGGGACTACAGGCACGTGCCACCAAGGCCAGCTAATTTTTGTATTTTTAGTAGAGACGGGGTTTTATCATGTTGACCAGGATGGTCTCGATCTCTTGACCTTGTGATCCACCCACCTCGGCCTCCCAAAGTGCTGGGATTATAGGCATGAGCCACCGTGCCCAACCTCAAGCTTTTATTTTTAATCTGCCTAATGTGAAGAGTTTTCACCTGTATAAGGGTGGAAATTAAAGGACCACTGTTATCATCAGGTGGCATTAAATTTCCCCTTGAAGTAGAAAGGGCATACTATATCAGCCAAACTCCAGCTCCGTATTTGGATATTTGTTCATCCACAACTCTTCAAGTTTGTTCTTTGTGCTTTCTCCTATAGGTCTGGTAGGAAAGAAGTAATAAGCATCTGAAGAATGAGAAACCATACAGAAATAACAGAGTTCATTCTTCTGGGGTTGACAGATGACCCAAAGTTCCAGGTTGTGATCTTTGTCTTTCTGTTCATCACCTATATGCTCAGCATCACTGGGAACCTGACCATTATCACACTCACCCTGCTGGATTCCCACCTGCAGACCCCCATGTATTTCTTCCTCAGAAATTTCTCCATATTAGAAATTTCATTCACGACTGTCAGTATACCCAAGTTTCTGGGTAACATTATTTCAGGAGATAAAACCATTTCCTTCAATAATTGCATAGCTCAGTTATTTTTTTTCATTCTCTTGGGAGTCACAGAGTTTTATCTTCTGGCTGCCATGTCCTATGACCGCTATGTGGCCATCTGTAAACCTCTGTATTACTTGAACATCATGAATCAAAGAGTCTGCACACTGCTTGTTTTTACTTCTTGGCTGGTTTCATTCTTAATCATATTCCCAGCACTCATGTTGCTTTTAAAGCTTGATTACTGTCGGTCTAATATTATTGACCATTTTACCTGTGATTATTTTCCCATGCTGCAACTTGCTTGTTCAGACACAAAATTCCTAGAGGTGATGGGATTTTCTTGTGCTGTGTTTACTCTAATGTTCACATTGGCATTAATATTTCTGTCCTACATATACATCATCAGAACAATTTTGAGAATTCCTTCTACTAGTCAGAGGACAAAGGCCTTTTCCACATGTTCTTCCCACATGATTGTCATCTCCATCTCCTATGGCAGCTGCATTTTTATGTACATCAAATCCTCAGCAAAAGATAGAGTGTCCTTGAGCAAGGGAGTGGCGATACTAAACACCTCAGTAGCCCCCATGCTGAATCCCTTTATTTACAGCCTGAGAAATCAGCAAGTCAAGCAAGCTTTCATTAACATGGCAAGGAAGACTGTATTTTTCATAAGCACATGAAATGGTATGTAGTGATGAATTAGTCAATAAAAAACTGAAAATTATTATTTTTAAAAATCCAGTTACATTTCAAGATGTGTAATTAGTTTTGATTATTTGACTTTGGGCAAATATTGGTATTTCATCATTACCAATGCATTAATTGTTTTAAAATTCCTGAAAAATGAAACGTAAGTGAATTTAATATAATAAACTGTGTGTTAAGTTGGTGAAGTAGCCACCTGAACAGAATTATTCCAATTGGTTTTAAATACATCAATTGGTCTGTACTTCCATGTGGGATTTAATCTAAGGGCACAAAGAGAAGAGCTGAAAAAAAATCTGAAACTGTTCTCAGGAATGACATTATGGGTGGCAGTGGCATCACTGTTATTCTAATACTGTTGTGTGTGCGATGTGAGGAAAAGAAAAAAATGAAAATTTATGTGATAGCCAGGATTCTCACTATGAGAGAAAGAAGACACAAATGGATGAAAGATAGAAGGGATTATGTAAAAATCATGTAGTCCTAAATTTGAAAATATTAACATGTTTTTGTGACACAGGACCTAGAAAGAAATTATTTAGGTAGTAGGGGTAAAAGAGTCCCTGGCAAGGTTTCCCTTTTAATAAAAAGCAGCCCCCGAGTCATTTCTTTTCTCACAAAGAGCAGCCTGAAAGATCAAGCTGCAGACATAGAAACTCAGGCTCCATGCCTGAACAGTTGAATGCCAGCCACTGTGCCAATGGGAAAAGGCTACCTGGGGACCAGGCATATTCAACATGGCAGCCCCATCTTCCCTTTTGTTTGTCAACCACATGTACAGTAAAGAAGCAGGCAACATGGCCAGATAGAGAAGCCATCTGCATAATAAAAGATTAGGGTGAGGAGACCAGCTTCTTTGTGTGCTATGCAAATGACACGTGTGGTCTGACCAATTTCTCATCCTCTATGTAAATCAGACACTGCTTCCTCAGGCTCATCTGTAAAACCCTGTGCATTTCACCATGAGGCCAGAAGATGCATTCAGGAGCCCCTCTCTCTGCAGGAGGGGGAGATTTTCTCTTTCACCTATTAAACCTCCACTCTTAATCTCATGCCTTGTGTGTCCACATCCTTGATTTCCTTGATATGAGGCAGCAAACCTCTGGTATTACCCCAGACAAATAATGTTGTTTCATTAGTATGCACTTGTAAAGATTTTTTAAACAACCTGTTGTCCAAAGAATATTGTATGTTAAAAAAATAAGTGTGCTTGTCCTTTCCACTGAAAATACCTAGAAAAGATGATCAACTTCATGGCAGTTATTATAACTAGTGCTCAGATTCTTATCTTGATTTAATATTTTCCAATCAATGCAAAGAGGACTTTTTGGAGAAATGGTTGATTCCAGATGTAATACAGGAACATATAAGTAACATGAGCCTGTAAAAATATATTGCTTAAGAAGGAAGCAATCTAAAAGTATAATGTCCATTAGAGTCAGAAGCCAACTTGAAGACTTTCTCCCTGGCTAAATAACTCCAAAGAGGTAGGGATGTTAATTTAAATCTTCCTTGAAATGCATATGTCAAACACTAACATGACCTAAAGCTAATACAAAATTGTGATTCTGACCGGGTGCGGTGGCTCATTCTGGTAATCCCAGAACTTTGGGAGGCTGAGGCGGGTGGATTGTGAGGTCAGGAGATCGAGACCATCCTGGCCAACATGGTGAAACTCCACCTTTACTAAAAAAAAAAAAAAAATACAAAAATTAGGTGAGTGTAGTGGTGCATGCCTATAACCCCAGCTACCCGGGAGGCTGAGGTAGGAGAATTGTTTGAACCTGGGAGATGGAGATTGAAGTGAACCAAGATTGTGCCACTGCACTCCAGCCTGGTGACAGAGTGAGGTTCCTTCTCAATAATAATAATAATAATGATTCTATGAGTTTATAATGATATCAACAAAAAGATACTAGAGAATCAATTTGGAATACTGAATGAAGAGCAAAGTAAGCTTTTATCTGAGATTTTCTATACAATTGTAACAATGTACAAGGAAATGGTAAATGTTAGATTAAGAAGATAATCATTTTGTAGCACATAGTGAACAAATGAATCCAGCCATTGGTCACCAATTAAACCACCACTGCAAGATTATAACTGAGACAGTGAAGGGGATCTGACCTAGCCAATTCCATCTTGCTTTTAACCTCCAGGCTGTCCTTGTTCATTCTGGGCGACTCAACTGACTTTGGGAGGAACTTTGTTTTCCAGAGCAGACCTTCTGCTTGCCTGGGGACTAGACTGCCTTTGTAGAACTTACGAATTAGCCACAAGATTCGCAATTATGTTTAGGAGTCATGGAGCTGGAGGCTACAGGATTGGACGCTCTCTAAACTACTCCTAAGATAGTGCTTGAGATATTTTGCAGACCCTGCACTTGATAGATCAGCTGGCACCACCCAGATCTATAAAGTGGCTCATCTGATCTTGTGGTCCCTACCCAGAAACTGACTCAGTGTAAGAAAACAGCTTCCACTCCCTGTGATTTCACCTTGGTCCTGACCATTCAGCACTCCCAGCTCACTAGCTTTTCCCCACCCACTTAGTTATCCTTAAAAGCTGATTCCGCACCTTGGGAGGCCAAGGCAGGGGGATCACCTGAGGCCAGGAGTTTGAGACCTGCCTGGCCAAAATGCTGAGACTCCGTGTCTACTACAAATGCAAAAATTAGCCTGACGCGGTGGTGCACGCCCGTAGTCCCAGCTGCTTGGGAGGCTGAAGCAGGAAAATTGCTTGAACCCTGGAGGCAGGAGGTTGCAATGACCTGAGATCCTGCCCCTGCACTCCAGCCTGGGTGACAGAGGGAGCCTCTGTCCCAAACAACAGCAATAACAACAACAAAAAACTCTGATCCCTGAATCCTCAGGGAGACTAATTTGAGTAATAATAAAACTCCAGTCTCCTGCACTGCCAGCTCTGCGTGAATTACAGAATTTATTCTTTGGCTATTGCAGTTCTTCTGCCTTGATACATCGACTCTGTCTAGACAGCAGCAGGTGAACCCATTGGGTGGTTACGCTAATAGCTGCTAATGATTTTGGATTAGTTTTGAAAGGGAAAAAAAGCCTAAACCTAAACGTCAATTAAGCCTTTAAATCTGAATAGCAACAACAGAATATTAATAGGACAAGGATGCCATCAAGCGAGGCATTACTGCATGTTTCCCTCCATGACTAATGATGAAATTTCCTGCGTATTATTGAGCTTTTATAATAAAAACATAACATCATTTTTACAATAGTGACAAGTGATCAATAAAAATTAAGTGGTTAAGGGTAATACTCCCTATGATGTGGAAACATATCTGCCAAAATGTTCTTAGGGATGTGCCTTTATAATAGTAAAATAATTCACAAATTTGCATCCCAGCTGTGATTGATATAGTTCTGTATTGGCTAGTGTATTATTTTTTAATGCAAAAAAAAGTATATCAAAAATCACATTATATGTCTTAAGTATATAGTGTTTTTGATTTCTTAATTATATCCCAATAAAGATGAAAAAGATAAAACCATTTAATCATATAAATTTATTATTGTGTTTGTATACATTAAATATACATTTTATAACTCTATTAAAACATATAATGCTTATTTTGTGTTAAATAATCTGTATTATATAATATACATTGTTAATTTAAATTATATATTAAATATATGGCTTATCTGATTACATGTTTTTATGCCAAAATATTTGGGAAACATAAAGAACATTAAAGAGAATAATTAGTTATAATTTACTGACCAGAATTTCACATAGATAAGAGCATATTTTGTGGTATTTCTTATTAGAACATTGAAGGGATAATCAATATATAGGCCAAGATGAACAGTAAGATGGACAAATTGACACCGAAATTAAATGTTGCAATTTATAATGAAAATTGAATTCGTTAACCTGATAGCATTTTTTAAAAACTTGTGAGCCCAATACTTGCATTATAATAGTTATTTTTTACTTAGCATTATGAAATAACCTTTCGCTTCTTTATGCCCTAACACTTAATAAAGCCTAAAGATAAAAAACAAAACCTATATAACAAACCTGCACATTCTGTACATGTACCCCAGCACTTAAAGTATAATTTTAAAAATTTAAAAAAATGGGATATGTAGAGAACTTTCTATATTGATGATTAAATACCAATTAGATTGAGCTCTAGTTTTGTTAAGAAAGTAGATGTCATAGCTATTTTTATTACTCATGAAATATTAAGTATGCATAAAATATTGATTACAATAATGGAAGTAAATATTTCACAGAAGACAGTATTTGAGGTCTCCTGTGGGCTAAAAGACGAACCTAATCACTCTCAAGGGAGATCAACTATAGATAAGAGTTAGGAGGCTACTGAGAAATCCAAAGGCAGCTTCCAGAAATCTCTCATGGTCTACAACACAGCAGAGATGTGGCCTGGACTTTGCTTTGTTCCCAGGAGATCAAATCTTTCAAGTTCAAAACAAAAAACTTGAAATATTTTAGATATAAGTACAACCAGAGGAAAGCCAGATACCACAATCTAACTCATAATACTCAATGTGTCATATATTTACCTGTTTTCTCTTTAGATGTTATTTTTTGAACTTCTAGCTCAACATTATTGCAGAGGAATAGAATGTATTTCCACAACTTCCAAAGGTTTTCAGCATTCCACTTTTATTTTTCGAAATATTTCCCTTAAAAAACAAATAAAATAGAATTTGATTAGTGTGAATTTTGGTAGTGTTCAGAGGAGAAGCAATAATTTTATATTCTATCCTTTATAGTAGAAATTTGATTATCTAAAATATGGAGGACAACTTTCAGGATTTTAGCAGAACCCATCTGTAGAATAGAATATCCAGCAATGTTTGAATAGCTGGAAATTGACTGGGTAGAATGAGAGAGGATTTCCTATACAATTCTGGATATCCTTACGAACAAATGATTGCATAAGGATGAATGGTCTTATGTGGGACAAAATTTACTAGAAAATAAAACTTTTTT